TAGCGTGATGGAATGAGCCTATAATACTCTGCAAAGGAGCAGAGTATAAAGTAGTATGAAGAACCATATTGTGCAAAGTGGAAAAACAGCGTGAGAAGGTGGCCGAGGACTGGAAAATGCTCTTTCAGTAAGAGGCAGCCGTTAACGTTGGTGTGGTCAAGATAGGCACACATTTTCTTTCATTCTTTAAAAAAAATCGTTTTTTCCTTTGGACCTCTAGTCCGAATTCTTGGGAAAAGGGCATAATTTGTCAGAGAGGACGTGCCCTAGATTCAGCAACTATGGGTTGAAGGTAAAGGATCTGTTAGTTCTTTTATTTAACACTTCCCTAACCAAATATTTCCTGAGAGCCTACTATGTGCTAGCCATGGAATAGTATTAGGCCCTGAGGATATAGCCATGAGCAGTTTACCCTTGGCCACTGGCCATGTGGGGCTTTTTGGTCAATTATACAAATAGCTGCAGCTATCATTGACTTAGCAGTCACTACGGGTCAACCTCTGTACTGAGTGCTTCATTTTTATTTTGTCATTTAACCACCAAAACAATCCTGTGCATTATCATGTGCGTTTTACAGAATACAAAAGTGAGATTAAGAGAAGCTACACAACCTGCCCAAGACTGTACATCCAAGGTTCAGACTCAGGAAAACCTGCTCTCAGCGCTGCTCCCAGCCACTCGGCCTCCCCTAAGTTATCCCTCCTCCTGGTGAGCAGGGGCCTCGTTTGCCTCTGAGATGCCTAGGAAAGTTCTCCTTCTGTGTCCTTTCTGCCCAAAAAAGAGCGGGTTGTCCATGGAATGTAATCACTTCCCATTTTTGACTAGAGTTACAAAGGGGGCTGATAAGACAGCCCTTATTTTTCTCTCCATCTCTTTCACATGCCTCCTGCCTTCTGCACCACGAGGGCCCTCCCAGCTCTGGAAGCAGATTGGGGAGCACAGCGAATAGGTCCCCTCGAGTTAGGGATGACAGCGTCAACCTGGATGTGTCATTTGAGACTGATGTGTGTGTGTTAGGGAATCAGTGATTTGTGTTGGAAGAAATCATTCAGCTGCAAGTGATGGGAGCTGCTCCATCTGTCCCGCTGTGGGTGGGGGTGGGGGGAGGTTTATATTCTACGGACACCAAAGGCCAAGGAGGGACTAGCAAAAAAGGAAGTGGGGACAATTCAGAGCCTTCTGTCACTGTTTAGGAGCTGGTTAACCACTAAAAATTTTGTTCTAATAAGTGTTCAAGATTGTTAGAAATGAAAGAAGTAGTTGTGCTCAGAAGACCCTCTTTCTAAGTCTCAGTGCAAAGAATAAAGAGGGATTCCGATGACTGATTCCCATAATATTAAAAAATGATAAAAGACCTTTGCTGTATTTACTCATCCGCAGATTCATAACAGCAGTTGCCTTTCAGAGGCCAGTCAAGGAGACCAAGACGCACCTGGGTGGGGGACTTCCCTGGCTCCTCGAGGAGATCAGAAGGGGTCAGCATGGCAGGATGTGGGATTTGGCGATCTGAACATGATGGCCGCGGTTAACTATCTACTTTTACATCTTCGTTTTCCCCTGACTCCTTCCACTCACTCTCTTCTTAAAGATTTATTATATTTTGTTTTGGGTCACGCTTTTATGTCCCTGTCCATCTTGATAACATCTGTTATGAGGCCTCAACGCTGTTTCTCATGGCTTCTCAATTTCCACTTTTTTTCTGCATTCGTTGGCTTTTTCATTATAATAATCCTATAGGTAATCCCTCTTCCCCTACACACACGCACACACACACACACACACACACACACACACACACACACAGGTTAGCCATGATTTATTTATTTATTAAGTAAAGGAAATTCTTTATTAGGCTAAACAGCTAAACTTAAAAGACAATTTATATACCAAACTTTAAATGTTGTCTAATTAGAAAGCAGTTTTATGAAGCACAGTCTTTGATCTGTGTAGATAATTTTTATATTTTATAGTTTAATTTTATTTGAGTTGCTACTACATTCATGGTTTTTAAAAGTCAAATGATTAAAAAAAGTTATAACTGACAGGTCTTATTCTCACTCCCCTTCCAGGCCTCACCTCCATCCCTCCTTCATGCAGGAACTCAACTTTCATTAGTGTTTTGTGAGCCTTTCCAGGATGTCTTTATAATAAAATAAACAAATGAGGATATATAATTCTTATGCAGAAGTCAGTGTAGTAAATACGACTCAACACAAATTGATTTGCACCTTGCTTTTTTTCTCACTTAACAATATATCCTGGAGATCTTTTCACGGTAGTGCACAAAAAGCTTCCATGTTTGGGGGGGTTGGGGTTGCTGCACCACAGTTTAATCCCTAATTGATGGAATTTTTTTTTGGTTGTTTCCAGCTTTTGCCATTAAAATAATGCTGCACTGACCTATGTAAGCATGTTCAGAAATGACTGTCAGAAAAATTTCCAGGAAGTAGGATTTCTGGGTCCAAAGGAAATGCATTTGTAATTTTAAACAATAGTGCCAACCTGCCCTTTGTAAGGGTTGTGCCGTTTTTAACTCTCATCACCAGTAGAAGAGAATGCCCCCTTTTCCACACTTGTGCCAACAGTGCTTTTTCAAACTTTTGGAATTCGGCCAATGCATTGAAGTACAAAATAGAATTTCCGGATACTTTTTTTTCTCATTATGAATGAAGTTAAGAATATTTTCATATGTTTAATGACCATTGTATTTCTTTCACTGTAAACTTTTTGTATTCTTTTATTACTTTCCTACTAATTCGTTCGGATTTTTTCCTGTCATCTGTAATGTCTTCTTAGTTATTCATTTTTTTGTCTTTATTTCATTTGATTTCATTTCCCTTCTAGATTTTTGTTGAGAAAAATTTAAAGTATAGAATAGCTATTGTTTTGCGCAGCCTTGTGGAACTGTAAAAATTACAACACAAAGCAGTCTTCATCAATGGGGAAAAATCACAAACTGTTTCATGACTTTAAGAATTTCTGTCAAAACATTAAAAAGTCTCTGTTATAAATATATACAGATATGGAAAAATAGAAAAACTAATGTACTGAGTCCATGGTGGCATTAGAAACACTGAGAAATACGGTGTTTTATTTCATTGTTAAAATCTCATCAAGAGTAATTTGAACAGTACTTGCCACCTTCATTTTGCTGCTGACGATGCACAGCGAGTGCCTTCTGTATGCTTTGGAGAAATGTCAGACTTCCATCTAAGTTTGGGTCAACTGCCAGCATTTTATCCTTTGCTTTTCATTGTCATGAAATATCTCCAAGAGTTACTATAATATGAAACATTTTGCTGGCGGTATCACTTTCTCTGGGCCACCTTCATCCCTTTTGTCACAAGGACTTCCCTCATTTATTGAGTTCAACAAATTCACCTTCACTCTGGCCGCACTTGCCTCTCCAATGGGGGCCATGTCCACGTCCCCATGTCAGCTGTATCTTCTATAAATCCATTGACATTCAATTCAAATTTTACTCCCACCGTTATCACTTTGGGGGTTTTTTCGGTACTTTTATCTTTTGGGCCAATTCCCTCTTTTAATTACCCTTTGTAGAATGTTGCATGGGCTTATCACTGACCAGGGGACAACGTAACTACGTGCTTTGCTGTCTGTACATGAACCAAATAACAGGTGTGCCGTGACCAGACACCCACACACTTGGAAAATAGTGACATCATTGCTGATCATAATGAACATCAATGGATTCATGTAGAGATTTCTGAACTGAAGAGCTGGCCTCAGAGTTTGTACTTTATGCCATTACTCACAGTTCATGCCTGTGGCAACGGGAATTTAAACCTTGGCTTTGGAGGATTGGTGTTATTAACTAAACTGTAGTAACTTAAATGTGTACATATCAGAGCCATGCAAAGCAGGAACTGCCAGTGTAGAAAAGTTCGAAGAGTAATATCACAAACATCTGCATAGTCATCACTGAGCTTTGAGAGTGATTAACTTTCCACCATATATGCTGTAGGTGTTTTTAATAAAGGAAATAGATCATTACAAATCGAGTTAAAATTCTCCTCTGCCCCCACCTCCTCCCATCCTGTTCCCTTCTGTAACCTCCCAACTCACATATCATCATGAATTAAAAGTATTTTCTTTACATTTTCTCCGTCTCTCTCCCTCCCTCCCTNAGGAAGCCTCCCCCTGACCTTCCAACCCTTAATTCTACTGTTGGAGGTTCTTCCTCTATGCTTCCATTGTACAGTGAGGATACTTTTGTCATGAACAGATGGTCTCTGCATCGTCAGGTGTTCATCTGAGAGAGCCCCAGACAAGGCTGCCCAGGGAGGAGAGAAGGCTCTGGGGGGCCTTGTCCCTCTCTTATTGGCCTGTCAGTCTCCTTCCTAAGGCCTGTCAACTCTCTCTAGCCTTCTGCCCCTTCCCTATATACTACTCTCTCCCTCCTCTGTTCTTCCCTGCCTCTCTCTCTCTCTCTCTCTCTCTCTCTCTCTCTCTCTCTCTCCTTCTCGCCCCCTCCCTCCTTCTCTCCCTCCCTCCCTCAGATTTCTATGTACATATATAAAGAGCTCAATGAGAACTATGTAGTATTCCGGGGAGTAATTTTAAATTTGCATCATAATTTGTTTTCTGTTCATCATGCTTTCCTTTGCTTCTTTTGTTCTTGTTTCCTTCTTGAATTAAGAAAAATATTTTGTCTCCTTTTTCCCCCTAGTTTAGAAGTCATGTTTTCTATTTCATCCTATTTCTATTCAATTAGGGGAATAACTTGTATTACATACCTATATCTATATACATATAGATATAGATAGATGAATAGTATACATAGATCAATAGTCTATATAGATAGATGAACAGGTGACTATTATAGAGTGATAATATAAAATTCTTGATAAGAATTCTGGGAATTTGCTCACATCTCTCCCTGGAAGGAACCAAAGCCTAGTGATACGCATGCGTGTTTTGTCATATTTCTATAACTGTTTTTCTGATACATGTAACCACCATTGTACTCTGTCTTCCAGATTTATTCAGGAGCTCGAGCATGCCCTGGGACTTGGCCCAGCCAAACAGTGTCCTCTTCGGGAGTTTCTCACTGTATACATCAAAAACATCTTTCTCAATCAAGTCCTGGCTGAGATCAACAAGGAGATTGAAGGCGTCACTAAAACGTCTGACCCCTTGAAGATCCTAGCTAACGCCGACACCATGAGGGTTCTGGGCATGCAGCGGCCTCTGCTGCAGGTAAGTACCAAGATGCTGTGAACTTACTGTTTTTCCAACAGGTTTCATTGCCTTGGCAAGAGTCACAGATTAAAAATACAGAAGAAGAAGTGCCATCTGTTTCCATATCTTCAGGGACAAAACATGAAGAAATAAACAGGCAGTAGGGAAATTTAGGACTAATGTAGAGATAATGAAAGTTCCTTAAGATCTCTAAGGAAAAAGTGGTTAGCTTGGGATGTGCAAGAGAGTGATTCTCATTAACATGCCAGCATTGCCTCATGACTTACCTGGCTTCGTCCTTGAGAGGAATTCTTTTTCCATTGGTGAATGCATCCTAGTGAATGGGGGAGCAAGTTACTCTGCCTAAACCCCAGCTACCTACAGGAAACCCTCTGTGCTCATTGGAGAGCAGATTTACGGTTAAGAGCTTGGCTAGCTCACAGTGAACTTGAACCTACCAGCAAATATGCTTTTAAAAATCAGATCATTTAATGAAAGTGATGATCTTGTTAATATTAAACATTTGACTTTGACTAAAGAAATGGTTTCTGGGCAACATGGCTCAGAAGATATGTGGATGAATAGGCTTGGGGTATTTATTTTATATCCATTTTATCCAGTGACTCAAAGGTAAATATAAAAAAAATAGTTATGAGTTTAAATGTATGGATATTCATTAACTATTATTACATTGTAATTGTATCTTTATAGTGTTTCTTCATTTAAAAGAAAAAAGGTTTCTTCATTTTTTACATAAATTGTATGATATGAGGATATCTCAAAATGTGGAAGGCTTGAGCACTTCAAAGAAAAGTTGTGTAAATGGCAGGGAATTATAGCTGTTTCAGTTGCCTGCTCTGATCTGCCCTTATATATTCATATGTCTTCCTTGAATTTGCCTTCTTTGTTCGTTAGAATTCATGGAAACACTGGACCTTTCAAAGGAAAGCATCCTAGTTAGTAACATCCTTTAGCAAACTCTTGTGTGATATTGAGAAAATAGAACAGAGACATTCGTTTCTCCAGGATTTGCATTATAGCGTCACACCAAGCAATGGGCTCATTTGGATTGTCTGGGTCTGCGTTAGATCCTGGTGAGGGATCTGTGCTGGGTGAGCATGGGACGCAGAGAAGGGACAATGACAAAGTCATGTGCTCGCTCGTCTCTGCTGGATTGCTCTTCCACGGGCTCTCTGCATGTCTCTGACCTACTCCTCTCTGAGTCTCAGTTCAAATATCACCTCCACAGGGGAGCTTTTCCTGACTGTCCTATAAGTAGGCTCCCTTCCCTGGTTATCCTCCATTTCCTCCCCATCCCCCCAATCCATTCTCAACACTGAAGCCGGACCCTGGAATTGTATCACCAGAGCTCCCTTGCCAAGTGACTCATGACCTACCAATAGGAAGCACTAGCAGCAGGTTGGGTTGGTTTTTATCTCCTTCCTTTCCACTTTGGATCATGGTTCTGGCCATGGGTGCATCCCCCCCATAACAATCTTGCCAGGTGACAACACTTCCTCCACAGCTCCGGCTTTCACTGAACTCTGACGACACCATTTCTTCTCCTTGTCCCTTGATTGCAGCTTTCTTCTATTACGAGTTGCTGGTGCCTCAGCATCCTTTGTGGCTTCTTCAGATCATCTCTTCATGAATGTTCCTTTCTCTTTTATCAGGATCCCAAATAGATCTCCCCAGCTAGTCACTATTTTAACACTTGGATTTATTTTTTCCTTCTTGACACAGCAACTGTTGTTATTGGTTAATTTCTTCTCTAACTTGTTTATTTTCGGTCTTTTCCCACTAGAAGGTGCGTTCCAAAAGCGTAGTACAATACCAGGCAGCAGGAAGGTGCTCAGTCAATAATTTATTGCATGGATGCTTGCATGCATGGGTAGATGGACGGGTGGACGCAGTGAATATGTTGTGAGTCATAAATGACTGCAGAGTCAGAGCAGGAAGATGAGAAGTAGCGAACGACAAAACTTGCTCACATTTTTCTTTTGTCTGACCATGTCATTAACTTCCTCTCCATCAGAAAACCTTTCTGTACTTAAGTCCCTGAGGTGGCGTGTTATATGCTGTACAGAGCAACTTTAGCAGGCTTAGTGTACTGAATTTAAAAGAAAACAGACAGCGGTGGACTAGAGGGAGTCTGTGAACTAAAGATACTGGCTTATTAAACATGATTTTCAGCTTGAGTAGCAAAGACACATTCGAACTCATAACCGGTTGCCTACAGCCTTGGCCATGGCCGGGCCACACGCCGTTGGTGGATGGACATCTCTGGGCAGTTTACCGATGTGCTTGTCAAATCGCCCCCAGCCTCATCACCGGCTAAGTGTGCATGTTACTACTCTGTGTTTGGTTGGTTGGTTGGAGTTTTTTTTTGTTTTGTTTTTTAGTGTGGTTTTTTGTTGGGTTTTTTTGTTTGGTTGGTTTTTACCTCTTGTTCTTTAAATCATTTACTCCATTCTGAAACTAGATAAGAACTCCAACTTGACCCGTTCTCTCTTTGACCTAGGCAAGACATGATAATTCTATGTAAGGAAGTAAATCTTGAAACTAAGGCCGTTCAAGTTATCCATCTCCAAATTTGTTTTCAGAGCCCAAACACCTGCTTGCTTATTTGCTCATCGTGTTGCCCTCTCTTTCTTCATAAGATTTTCATTTAATGAGAATGCAAATGAGTTAGACCATAGCAATAAATTTGTTTACTGTTCTCAGAGTTACGAGATTTAAAAAGCAAGTGAAGTGATGGTTATTTTTCTCTCCCATCTTAAGCGTCTCTCTTGCTTTGTAATGATTATAAATTATTTTCTAACATAATTTCCCATGCTCAAGTTTCAGTGTTTCTTCAATATGTTTCTATGTCACCTTGATATTTTTATCCCTGGCTAATTGTAGGTGATTAATCTGAAGAAAATGTAAGAAATAATCCTCACAAATTTTAGCTGAGTTTCCAAAACAACTGTTAAGAAGGGAGCTTGGAGAAATACAAGTTTGTGTGAAAGAAGCAGGTGGGTTAGGTTTTCAATTACGTGAAGTATAAACGCATCCTTTAACGCCATTCCCTCTGCCAGACTGTTGTGTGGTCACAGAGTAGAAGAAAGGATCATGTCTGTCCCCTGAGGCAGCACCCAGTGTCACATGGCATCTGCCCAGCTGGATGCTGCAGGGAGAATGCGAGGACAGCTGTGTCAGGGCTGTTGTCCTTTGTTTGTGATGTGCAGATGCACAGAACCCCGCAATACTTTGTCCTTACCTCCCTGCCATGGCATCTGGGCGGTATAGACAGTCGGTTATGAGGGGCTGTTTCCATGGGTGATGGTGTGCTTTTGCATCGGTGATTGCCCTTTCTAGGCACAGAATTCATGGAAGGGAAAGAGGGAAATAGAGAGGCAGTGATAACGAGCGCCATTCTGTAGGTGAAACAGCTGCGCAAGTGTTGGCCCAAAATGATACCACAGCATAGCACTACCAGTAACGGAAGTAGTAATAACAGTAATGATAGCATTCCTAGCAGAGCAGTAGATAGTGGTAAAGATGGCAGCTAGCTCTGTGATAGCATTTCCTGTGAGCTACACACAGAATAGAGTGCTTTATGTTTGACTTGTGGTTTCCATATATTGGCAACAGCTTTGTGGGGGCAATGTTCTTATTATGGGGAGGAAACTCAGAGACAATTAAATAAGTAACTTGCCCGTGGTCGCATAGCTAGCAAGTGTCAGAACTGTGATTCAGACCCAGGCACATGACCCTGGAGGCCTTGCTCTGAACGAGTTAGACTGAAAGCATAGCCTGAGGAGTAAGCTTGTCTGCGAGCTATTTGTTACCGGTCTGCTAGGAGATGTACAGAATTTCAAAGTAAGCATTTAGATGCCTCCCGTTTTTTAAAGCTAGTTGACATTGTTGAATCAAGTATTAAAATGGGATTTGTATATCGTTGTGGTTTTTAATTTTTTTTTCTAGTACATAATTCCCATTCTATTTTATAAAAGTATCAATCTACAACAGATGGGGCAGGAACCTGGCCTCTCACCAGTGAGGGACACACCGCTCTTAACCCCTTATTTCCTATATCGCCTCTCAGAGGAGTAAAAGCATAGAACCAACTATCTCTTGCCTCAGCTCCAGAGCACTTTCCAGCAGATGGAATAGTTTGGGTATTTGCTGCAAGTGACTCGCTACTAAAACCCCAGCTCCTAGAACAGTGCCTGCAATAGAAGAGGTACATGATATTTAATAAATGGGCAAGTAGATGAATGAAAATGAATGAATGAATGATGCTTCCTTAGGGCAAGGATGTGTGTGCTTATTCTCCCCTCACGATATAAGCTTCGTGGTCTTGGGTTTAAAATTCTTGACAAAGCTTAAATTAAAATGCCACAGTTCTTATGCCTATAATGCTTGTCAGCATGAAGGCAGGATTGAATATACCTCAAGGTCTTAACATCTGAGATTCCACTTTTTTTTTTTTTCCAAAATGGCTTCCACATGTTGCAAGGCAGTGTGTGCTGATTCAAAATAAAATCTCTTAAGAGAAATCCTCAGGTTTCCTGAGTCAGATCTTCTGGCATCAGATGTGGGGCTGTAGAAGAAAGTGCATACCCTCTCAGGCCTTATATGTCTGCAGGAGCCTACAGATTGTTTATTCCTTAGACACCAGGAAACATCCGCACAGTTCCCTACTTATCATTGATTTGAGGGACTCATTTATTTCTACTTTAGTCTCTCCATCCAAAGAAAGGGTGGGGGCTAATGCTTAAGATTTTTCTTTTACGTCAAACTGCTGAATGGACATCTAACTGTGAAAACAAAGGTACAAGTAAAGTTTTTCCTTACGTCCCCTGATGGAATACGTTGTCCCCTTGCTACTTAGAGCGTGGTCTGAGGAGGAGAACATCACACCTCCATAAGATATCACCAGGCAGTTTGTATGCACGTTAGAGTTTGAGAAGCACAGCCTTGTCCCAGCCGAAGACTGGGCTGTCAGCATGAGCACCTCCCGGACCTGTGAG